ACGGAAAACTCCTCNCAATCAAGCTCGCCATTGCCATCGACATCGATGTCTTGGACAAGGTTGAAGACGTCTTCAACGGAAAGATCCTGGCCAAGCATCTCGTGGACGACGTTGTGCATCTCGTGCACGGTAATCGTCCCCGAACCATCCTGATCTAGGAGATTGAACATGTCGTGGACAAGCTCATCAGGGTCACACGAAGCAACGTAGTGTGTAAGCTTTGTTGCAAACCTACGATTGTCGGACTTGAAATGAGGCCTACTCGGTAGAGACAACGATCGAGAACGAAAAGAATTCGTCAAAGGAGATCTCCCCAGAGTTGTCATCGTCAAGATTGTCAATTATTGTCTAAAAGTATTTCATGACAAATGATGTTGTATGAACAACAAATTAGGTGATAGAAATTTCTATTCGTGTAATTGATGTAGACGCTGTAATATCATTACGTCTAGCTGCTCTGGCTTGGCATCGCAGGCAAATTTGACGAGAAGATCACGCATCTCCCCACGGTCAATAGAGCCCTGACCGTCTTCGTCGAAGAGGTTGAAGATGCGCTGCCAGTGCGAACGCTGACGCANAGCGAAAACATCGCGCTCCTCTCGACGCAGCTCCGATAGAGCAGCCACTGAGGCGCGACGAGCGCGGGCTTTCTTCTTGATGTGTTTGCCTGTTGCAGTCTGAGCACCAGACCATTTCTTCTTCTCAAAGGCTGTCATCTCTGTCTCTGTTTCATCGTCAATCTGCGCAGTTGAGAAGCCAAGTGCAGACCAAGAGAAGCGCTTGTTGCACTGTGTGACATCACTGCTTGCAGTGGACGGGGACTGGAGAGTCGATTCTTCGTTCTCGATATTTGTCTCCGGAGAGGCAATGACGTTTAGAAGCATGCTAGGATTGCGGAGGCACTGGACGACTTTGAGTGCCTCGAATGCAGCAACTGTCTTCTGGCGACGGAGGACCAATTCGATAACACGGCGATTTTTCATATCGGATATGTTAGCAACAACGGTAAAATCTTCCAAAACACGTGTTATTTTCAATAGAACAAGTGCTGGAGGTCCAATAGCGACTAAGAGGATCATGGTGCCACCCAAGTAACCGCCGCGATGTTGGAATGCAACAGCAGGAATGGTGTGGTCAACCGGGTCGTGGGTCTCAAAGAGATCGTCAACATAGACAAGACAAAAAATGGCCATGTAGACGGCTGTCATGAGGCAAATGAGGCGAATAATATCAAATGTAAAATGTGCGCGATGTGTTTCACCAAACCAAAATGATTCCACGTACGCGGCTGCAACATTGTCCTGAACATTCCCAGTGGGATCAAAATTAGACGTCGCACTCGTGGAATAGGACAGAGACTTGGGAAGGTCGATGGGCACAGAGCCCTGACGGTCTTTTGTTGTGTTTACTAGGGACTCACGCACGCTTCGTTTTACCCGCGAAAGTGTAGTTGATATGGATGGTGCAGCTGCCATTGACGCCCGTCTCTGCTTTGCAAGTCGCTTCACGCGATCGCAAGCATTTTCA